GTTCCTGTTTGTCAATTAAATATGGTCCAAAATATTTAATTCATTCATATTTATGAATCTTATTTATGAATCCTATAGTATTCAATGGAATCTTTTCGGAACCACCCAAATGGCAGGGTATGGTTTACGGTATGTTAGCAAAATTTCTACGGACAGTGTATGGTCACGTGATAGTTGGCGTTAACATTAGGATTGGTGATTTAGCACTGTACATTAATAATAATAATTCCTCGTGGTTTTGATACGTATAGCGATTGAGGGATTAATTGATTAATTTCAAATCTTTAATTAGTTTTAAACTTCATTCATTTATTAAATTACTTAGGTGTCGTGTCTTTGACTATCTGGTCTTTGGTAAATTTATTATATGAACTTCAATCATGTTATTACTAGTCAATCAAATTGTAAATTTGACCAATTCAAAAACGACTAATTAGATGGATCTAGTAGAATTCGCCGACAGACATTTCACCAACAATCTACTCTTAACTAACTATCGTTATAAATTAGGCCAATCCTAACCTAAATCAGACCAACTTTGTAGGCGAAATGGCTGTCGGCAAAATTGAATGATCGCCAGATACTCTAGCCAATCAACGACAAAATATACATTATTTAATGTTAACATTTTTTTTTCTTCAGACTGTTATATCGTTGATCAAATATATTTTCATTGTCATTCGAGCGAATGATAATGGTGAAGGCGGTCCTTTTGCTCTATATTCATTATTAGTCAGGTAAAATTTATTATTACTCACGTGATGCTGTGTCAATCTTGTTAAAATTTTCACCGGTATAATGATAAAAATAATAAAATCCATTATTATTGTTTAGACACTCTGGACTCTCTATATCTGCCGAGGCTCCGAGATTGGATGATGAGACTATAGTAAATTACAATTCCGAACCAAATCTTAATAACGGTCCGAACATTATCAAACGTAGTAAATTCATACAGAATTTGTTATTAATAATTGTCATGCTTGGTTCTTCCTTGTTAATCAGCGATGGCATGTTAACTCCTGCTATATCGGTGATTTCGGCTATTGAGGGTTTTACGCTACATTCACAAGAGTTAAATTGGATTACTGTCCCTGCGAGCTGGTAATTAAGCTATATTTAAACTCATGCACCATAAACGTATAATAATCTCACTTAAGATTATTTCTTAAAAACAAAAGTGTTATTCTTATTATACTATTCTTGGGGCAACGATTTGGCACGGGAAGAGTCGGTGATTTCTTTTCCCCAATTGTTTCTCTTTGGTTTATTTCTCTATCCGTTATTGGCATTTGGAATATAACAAGGTTTCCAGAAATCTTGAAAGCTTTCAATCCTTACTATGCCATTAAGTTCATCTTTCTAGATTCTGGATATCAACATCTTGGCGGTGTTATACTAGCATTCGTTGGAACCGAGGCAGTGTTTGCGGACCTAGGACATTTTAATCGAAGGTCAATTCAATTATCCTTTCCATTCTTTGTTTACATTCCTTTGTTGTTCACATACATGGGTCAAGGTGCAATTTTGATTTTGGATCCCAACAAACATGACAATCCGTTTTGGCATTCTATTCCTTCTCACCCAGTTGTTTATTGGTTTATGATTATTTTGGGTACTTTGACTTCAATTATTGCTTCTCAAGCTATGATTACCGCAACTTTTTCCCTAATTTATCAATCAATGCAACTGGATTGCTTCCCAAGAATTGATGTAAGAAATTTCATTCATTATTTATTTATTCATTTATTTATTCATATATTTATTCATCTATTTGATAAAAGGTTATTCATACATCAAAAAAAGTTAAAGGTCAAATTTATCTTCCTGAGGTATTCTTTAATTATATGTTTTACATGTACAAAATTATAAAAAGTATATAAGAATACTATCAACATACTTTTCTCGGTAATATATGCCGCAGATTAAAATGAAATCATATTAAAATGAAATTAGTAATTCTTTTTAAAAACTCTAATTAAAACTCATTTATATTCTTCTATTAACAATCTTAACTCTAAACCTAACCCAAACCTTAAAAAAAAAAGAGCCTAGCAAAATTCACACCGTTTCATCTTAACCTGATTTCATGTTAATCTGCCACAATACATATTCTATGAAGGATAAACTAACTTTGATTATAATCATTATAGATCAATCACGTTTTGATGATTATGGTCATATCCATCTGTGTTGTTTTCAATAAATCCGAAAATTTGTAATACCTTTGTTTTCCTTCTTTTAAAGGGGTTTCCTTTTTTTATATTAATGTATTCTTATTATTTTATTTTATTTTTTTTTTAGAGCAAGAGCTTATGGGTTAGCTATTTCGTTGGTGATGCTTATAACGACAATTCTTGTATCGCTCATAATGCACGTTGTTTGGCACTTCCGTCTAATTTTGCCGATCACGTTTTTATTGGTTTTTGGTTTAGTCGATGGTGCATTTTTAAGTCTATCCGCAGAAAAATTACTTCATGGTGCTTGGTTTCCTCTAATTATGGCGACGATTCTTTTTGTTATCATGGGTTTATGGAGATGGGGTACAAGTCGCAAGGTGAAATACGAATCTTTGCAGAGTACCAATCTCGATGAAATTTTTGAAGTTATACATCATACTCCACCTTTGAGTATGACTGCGGAGAAAAGTGATGTTTCTGAGAATGGCGCGCCTAAAGAAAATTCCAAAAATCCAGCACGAAATAGTTTTTCGAATTTCTCTGTTAAGTCTATAGAAACAATTTTACAAAGAAATATAATACGGCAGTTCGGAAAAACATCAAGAATTCGTATGTTGGATACTGGATTCTTAATAACACGACTACCGGGTATCGTCCTATTCTATAGTGACGTCGGTTCTTGCATCCCACTTTCATTTACACATTTTATAAATCATTTTCCTGCATTACCTCAAATAATTATCTTCATGACTATTCATCACGTAGCCATTCCGCATGTTAGTGAAGATGATCGTTTGATAGTCAGTAAAATCGGCGATTATGATGGTTGTTATCAAGTAGTTTCAAGATATGGTTACATGGATGATGTCATACACGGAGAAGAATTTATTTCTAAACTAGTTGCTTCAATACAATTTGCTGATAAACATTTATCAGAAAAAATAGTTCTACAAGAATTACCTGTTACATATGTTTTTGGTCACCAAATTTTTTCACCGAAACCTAGTTCTCCATGGTGGAGAAGATATTTGGTTAAGTATTATAAATTTTTAGTGAATAATTCAAGAGAACTTTATAGTAGTTGGTACATTCCTTCCGAAAATTTTATTGGTGTTGGCATGAAGACTGAAATTTAAAACATAGTTCGAATAGCGATAAACATTAGAGTCAAATTATAATTCACATAGATTAATATGATATATATACATAATTTAATAACCAAATAGTTAGGCCATCACAAAAAATTATAATTATGCCGATTATTATTATTAACGCTAATTTATTTTTTAATACGCATATACAGTAGTAGAAAATGTTGATTATTTTTTACAAAAAATTTAAAAGATATATAAATTTTTTAAAAAATGTATTTTTTAATAAAAAAAACATTTAAAAACAATAATGGTATTTACCTTTCCTTGTTACAAAACTGTAATTAAAAAAAATATATAATACAGTAATTTAATATTTTTGATACTGTATATATATGTACAATATATTGTTATTTATTTTTTTAAAAAATTTAAAATATAGTGCTGGTAGCCTATACTCAACAGTTATACGAAGTGTTTCAATTTTTTAAATGGCTATAACTTTTTATCTAAGAGGTTTAGAAAAAATCTGACCGGTAACTTTATAGAGCTATATCAGCTTTATATTTCTGCCAAATTTCTTTTCAAAATCTCATTACTGTAAAGAGTTGATACGTTTTGAAAATTAAAATTTTATATATAAATTTCAATTTTTAAAATGCATCAACTCTTTACAGTAATGAGATTTTAAAAAGAAATTTGGCAGAAATGTAAAGCTGATATAGCTCTATAAAATTACTGGTCAAATTTTTCTAAACCTCAGATAAAAATTATAGCCATTTAAAAAATTGAAACACTTTATGTAACTGTTGAGTATAGGCTACCAGCACCATATTTAATTAAATAAAAATTTTAACAATGTATAATTAAACTAGAACATTTTTGTTTACGTATAAAGGTGGCTCAAGTTCTAGCATAATGTTATTAAATATTCAAATTATATTATCCATTTTAGAATAAATTTACAAAAAAGTTTATACGTAATTAAAAATTGAACCACGCTACTATCATACAATTTAGCTTGTGTTCGATCATTTGTGATCAATCGCAATATTTAATGATTTACTATGATCGGTTCCAAACTCTAGTTACAGGTTTTCACTCAAATGGTTTGTGGATCAGGAAAATTCAAAACAAACTTATTTCTCAAAAATCCGTATAAGAAGCCTCTAATGCTTTAATGAAAAGTTTTTCTTGAGCAATTTTACTATACATTACGGCGCATTGGCGGAATTAAGCAGATATTTGGTCACCAAATCTAAAATAATGGTCACCAAATTTAAAATAATGGTCACCGAATTTATTATTGATCGATCAAAACTAAACCCTCAAAATTTTTTTTTGCACCCCAGATTTGCGGCAGCCTTATGTCCAACCCATCTTCCCACTATTCAACCCATCTTAAATTATCTACAGTATTCTTTAAAGTGACGCATCTCATTAGACAGATCTACAAAAAAAAAAATGAACATCAATAATACTGATAGTATTTTATGTTCTTTCTGTGACAATAAGAAATTTAAAAGTTATCACGGCCTCAAAATACACAACCAAAGAGTACATTGCAGCAAGAATTCTGCAAACACCTCTTCAGACAAATCTTTTTCATGTCTGCTTTGTCCAAATACAGCATTCAAAAAAAAAATGAATTGAGCCGTTATGAAACTCTTAAACATTCTAATTATAATACACCTCCTAAAAGTCTTCCTGTTCTTTCTAATACTTATATTGCCGAAGTCAAGAATGTGTTAGTTTATCTTATACAATCATGGCTTAAACTTCATATAAAACATACTGGTTTACAAACAGTTTCAGCACCATTTAGTGAACCAGAATTTGTTTCAATCTTTAAAAATTATATCAAGCGATATTCAATCTGTCACCAAAAATATATTTGTAAATTCAGTAGTTATGGTGCATATGATACGCTCACAAATATTTTTAATAGAGAAAATTGGGGATGTAGAATTTATGAACATAGACAAAGATCTGAAGTCATGTTAGTATCTGAATATTTAAAACAACCTGAATTGATAATAATCTGGAAAAAGTGTGTAATTAATGACGAAGATAGAAATAGAACTAAGACAGGTTGGGTTACTTTAAAATTTTCTGTAAGACAATTTTATTAGTATTAGATATAGAAAAATCGATTAAAATAATGCATGTATATACAATAATTATGTAGCAAATATGCATATATTATATAGCTTTAATTATACGTAGTATATAAATAAATATTACATGTATACGTATATATAAGTATTGTAATAAAATTAAATATAATGTTCTATTCAATAACAGTATTCGAATATTCATAAATTACACGATCTTTTTTAAAATAAGTTGGTATATTATGAACATAAAAAAAATTAGACCAGTTCTCATATTCCATAATTTCAAATATTGCAGATTTTTGATTATCACCTATCTCACCATCCTTTATAGACTTTCTAAAAAAATATAAAACATGATCATAATTTTTTTTTCCTACTCCACAGCAAGAAAATGAAGAAAATTTAATATTTCTGTGTAGATCTATGAATTCAGGTATGTGATATACAAGAATATGAATATATGGTGTTATGTCCGTTGGGTGATAAAGTTCACGAATAAACTCAGATGAATTTATATTACCTTGAGACTTTGTTAAAAAGAGTTTTAACTATTGATGAGCTTTTTGATGAAATCGGCTACCAGAAATATTTGAGGTATGCATATTATCATATAAGTCGACAAAACTATCTCATAGTTGTGAATATGATATTCAAATTAAAATTCTTTAAGACTATAAGTTTATCATTTCCATTTAAAGTTGTAAATAACCAAGTTTTAGTGCTTTGATCTTTCCAAAATTAAAAATGAACTTAAATACGATCTATTTCAGTAATAATTGTTGCAGATTATAATGAAATCAGATTAAAATGAAATGAGGAATTTCTATTTGACCCTCTAAAACCCATTTATACTTGTTTATTATAAAACCTGCTTCTAAACCCTAATCCTAACCCTAA